TTCAGCAACTCCTATATCATCTTATTGCTATATGTTGATGATATGTTGATTGCAGGATCTGATATGAAAGAAATAAACAAATTGAAAAAAGAAATGTCTCAAGAATTTGAGATGAAAGACTTGGGTCCAGCCAAACAGATACTGGGGATGAGCATCATCAGAAACAAGGATGGTTCTTTAACACTGTCCCAGGAGAAATACATTGGGAAGGTGTTAGAGAGATTCAAGATAAATGACGGGAAAACCTAGCCTAGAAGTACCCCATTGGGAAATCATTTGAAGCTGACCAAAGAACAATCACCTAAATCCGAAGAAGAAAGATCAGAAATGGCTAAAGTTCCTTATGCATCAGCGGTTGGGAGCCTCATGTATGCCATGGTTTGCACTCGACCAGATATTGCTCATGCCGTTGGCGTTGTTAGTCGATTTATGTTAGATCCGGGTAGAGAACATTGGGAAGCTGTCAAATGGATACTTAGATATTTGAAGGGAACCCAGAAAATGGGTTTATGTTTCAGAGGGAAGGATGCTATTCTCAAAGGTTTTACAGATGCTGATTTGGGTGGTTGTAGAGAGACATTTAAGAGCACTACAGGGTATGTCTTTACAGTGGGAGGAACAGCAGTGAGCTGGATGTCTAGACTTCAGAAAAGTGTGGCGTTATCTACGACAGAGGCTGAGTATATGGCTGTTGCAGAGGCTAGTAAAGAACTAGTTTGGTTGAAGACTTTTTTTAAAGAGTTGGGCAAACAACAGTCTGATTACTTATTGTACTGTGACAATGAGAGTGCAGTGAAACTTGCTAAAAATCCTGTTTATCATGGCAAGACGAAGCACATCGGGATGAGGTATCACTTTGTGAGGGGATTGATCAGTAATAGAACAATCAAGTTGAAGAACATCTCAGGTGCTAAGAATCCAGCAGACATGTTCACCAAGACAGTGGTGCTGGATAAGCTGAAGCTTTGCATATCTTCAGCTGGTCTCCTGGAATAGTGTTGAGGAATAGTGTTGAGGAGAGGGGCAACTAGGGAGATGTGAAGATCAAGGAGGATCTTTCATTTACAGAAGTATAGAGAGAAGCCGCAGTTTGGTCCAAAGACTCCAAGTGGGAGATTGTTCGTGATGTGTAGTCATCGGCGCAAAGTGGCCCACTTGTAGACAACTGAGAGTTAGGAAACCAGATTAGGGTTTCGGTCGGCCTAAATGGTTTTAAGCCCAGTTTGCTATAACTTGTCCAGCAAGGGTTAAACCCTAATTAGTTGTCTATATATATGATCTCCTGTACTTGTAATCATTATCACTCAATAATACAAACCCTAGTTGCCCCTGTGGATGTAGGTCAGATTAGACCGAACCACGTTAAATCTCGTGTTCTTTATCGCTTTCTTGCTTTATATTCGTGTGTGCTTTTGTTCTTAACAGTAGGGACGCCCAACCTCAACAACAAGTCCAGGAGAACCCGGAGGAATTTCCCCAAGTAGGAGTCATCTTTGGCGGTCCAGAAACGGGAGTCACAAGCAAGGAGAGGAAGGAATGGGCCTGCAAGCTATATGTGGGGTCCATTGACATAGGCCAAGCGGTCAAGAAAGGAAGAAGGGAGCCCATCATCTTCTCAGACGAAGATTTGCCGCTCATTCCTAGCCCTCATCGAACCCCCCTGGTAATTTCTATGGCTATTCACAAATTTTTTGTCAAGAGAATATTGGTGGACACTGGAAGCAGTGTCAATGTGTTGTACTGGAAGGCGGCCCAACAATTGGGAATCAGGAAAGAAGATCTCACAAGGCTTAACATGCCCTTATCCAGTTTCACTGGAGACATAATTGAACCGGAAGGGTCCATTAAGCTGGACGTCATCATAGGCGAGCGTCCAAAGGTGAGGCATATGAGGATGGATTTTGTGGTAGTTGATATCAAGTGTGCTCACAACGCCATCTTAGGGAGGCCTGGACTCGAGGACTTAGGAGGGGCGTTATCCCTTGAGCACTTATGCCTCAAATTTAGGACTCCTGAAGGTGTTGGGAGAGCCCTTGGTGACCAGCCCGCAGCCAAGAAGGCCTATCTAAGTGCCTGCAAGAGGATAGATAAAGAGAACCTCAACATACAAACCATTGGGCAAGCCTTAGAAGATAAAGAAAGGAAAGAGGAGGACCGGGAGAGGCCTAAGCCGGCTGTGGAGGTGGAAGAAGTGATGCTATTCCCTGAGGGGGATCCAGAGAAAGTCATAAGGATCGGTTCGGGGCTAAACGAGGATACCCGTGGAGAGATTATCCGAGTAATAAGAGAAAACTCGGTCCTCTTCGCATGGGAATCCAAAGATATGCCCGGAGTCGATCCTTCAGTCATTTGCCATAAGTTGAACATCAAGATGGACTCCCTCCCGGTCAAGCAGAAGAAAAGGTATCTGTCCACGGACAGAAAAGAATTTGTGAGGAAGGAGATGAAAACCCTTTTGGAGGCCGGCCACATTAGGGAGGTCTAATATCCCAAGTGGCTGGCCAATGTGGTGCTGGCACCAAAAGGGGACACATTTCGCATGTGTGTGGACTTCACTGACCTCAATAAGGCATGTCCTATGGACCCCTTTCCATTACCAAGGGTGGATCAACTAGTAGATGAAACGGCGGGCCATGAACTGTTGAGTTTCATGGACGCCTTCCGGGGATATCATCAAATTTTTATGCATAGAGATGATGCGGAATCCACAGCCTTTATCACCCCTGAAGGAGTATATTGTTACGTAGTAATGCCCTTCGGTTTATTACACAACCAGGGTCTTAAGAGGACCGGAAACAAGGTACACTCCCTTGGAAAATGTGTTTTGGCTGTGGTGGTGACTGTGAAGAGATTAACTCCTTATTTCCAAGCTCACCCAGTAAGAATCATGACGGACCATCCTTTGGGAGCAGTTTTGAGGGACCCATCTTCTTCAGGAAGGGTCATCAAGTGGGCTATGGTCCTCTCTCAATATGATATTTCTTACCAGCCTCGTTCCAGCAAGAAGGGTCAAGTCATTGCAGATTTCATGGGAGATTCATTCAGATGGATCCTGCGCTAAGGACGATTCAGGAGGAGGAGCGGTCCTCACCTCCCCCGAAGGCTTCAAGGCTTATCATTCCTTTAAGTTCACATTTCGGGCCACCAACAACGAAGCGGAATATGAGGCCCTCATTGGAGTAATCCAGATTGCCCTATTCATGAAGATAAAGCACATTTGTCTTAAATCCGATTCAAAACTGGCCATCGGACAACTAAAAGGAGAAATGGAAGCCAAGGAAGGAAGGTTGAAAAGATACAGGGACTGTGCCAGGACTCTAGTTAGACAATTTGAGTATTATGAACTCATATATGTTCCAAGAGAGGAGAATGAAGAAGCGGATATGCTTGCCAAATTATGTAGGACCATTCCCATCCACATGGGGGGTATGGTAACGCAGCACGAGAAGACTTGTCCTGTTTGGGAAGAGGCAGTCCCTGTCCTTGAGATATCCGGTCCAGGTACAACTTGGATGAGCCCCCTGATCACATACCTTGAGAGGGGAGAGCTCCCTATTGACCCCAAGGAGGCCCGCAGAGTTCAATTGATGGCTCCCAAGTATCAATTGGATGAAGCGAAATTGTATAAAAGAACCTTGGGTGGACCGATGCTCAAATGTTTGAGTGAGAGAGAAGCAAGAAGAATACTGGAGGAAGTACACCAAGGAGTTTGTTCTGCCCATCAAGGTGCTCTCACTCTAGCAAGAAAGGTGATACTCCAGGGGTTCTATTGGCCCACTCTGAAGAAGGATGCACTGGAATTGGTGAGGAAATGCCCAACTTGCTAAGCATTTGCACCAATCCCTGGACGCCCATCCACCTTTTACACCCTTGTCACTACGGCCATCCCTTTTGCTAGATCGGGGTTAGATTTGGTGGGTCCTTTCGTCCAAGGGGCTGGAAGGAAGAAATTTGCCATTGTGGCAATAGACTATTTTACCAAGTGGGTCGAAGCAGAAGCCCTTGTAAAGATCACGAAGGAAAATTGCCGTAAGTTCATGTGGAAAAATTTGTTGTGCAGATTCGGTGTTCCTGAGCAAATCATAACAGACAATGGCACTCAATTTGCCAACACAAGTTTCAAGGAATTCTGTGGTGCATGGAAAATTAAACTCAGTCGAGCCGCTGTAGCTTACCCGCAGTGCAACGGGCAAGTGGAAAATGCTAACAGGACAATTGTGGACGGTATCAAGAAGAGATTGCACGAATTGGGCACGTCCTGGGTAGAAGAGTTGCCCTATGTGCTGTGGGCTCATAGGACTACTCCGAGGAGAGCCACAGGAGAGACCCCATTTGCCTTGGCTTATGGCTTTGAGGCAAAGGTACCTACCGAGGTTTTGATCCCTAGTACAAGGGTGGAGGCATACACCCCAAGCCTCAATGAGCAATTAATGGAAGTGGATTTCCATTTCAAGAAAGGAGGGATGACGCGGCAATAAAAGCGGAAGAGTACCAACGGCAATCCAAGAGGTATCACAACAAAAAAACTGTACTTCGGGCATTCGAAGTCGGAGATTGGGTCCTTCGAAAAAGGGAGAAAAGTCAGCCTACTAAAGGAGGAAAATTGGCCCAGAATTGGGAAGGTCCATATCGTGTGGAGAGGGTAGTACGTGCAGGCACCTATCAATTAGCTACATCGGAAGGGAAGGCACTGGATAATTATTGGAATGTGGAGCATCTCAAAAAATTCTACCAGTAAAGGCTATCTGTTCAAGGTTCCGTCCTCCCATAATTTTCAAGCCTCACTTTTAGAGTTTTCTCTTTTCCTCTTATTGCGAGAGAATGGAATGTACTGTGCTATAAACATGAAAAAGAAATTTTCCATTCATCATCAATTGCTCCGGTCCATGAGTAATAATAAAAAAAAGAGGGACCGATTTCCCACAATAAGGGATAAAATCAGAAGAGAGCCATACAAAGAGGACTGATCCATACAAAGAAGTGACAAAATCAATACAAGAGCACATAATGACCGTTCTTAAACAAACTGCAATGAAGGCTTGAGAATTCAGGGCGAGGGAGAGGAACGGAGGTAAGAAGGCTCTGGTCCCATGGGTTCTGGGATGCCTGGAAACTTCAGCCAAGGATCTAGTCTGTCATAGTAGGGCTCCAGTCCATGATAAAATTTCTGTTGGACCTCCAACCCTCCGCGATAGAAACCTCGACCGTAGTCTGAGATGCGATCGGCCTCCATCCGAGCCATATGTCCCTCATAAGTAAGATGCTCGTTCTCAAGCGAGCGGCGGGCCTCATCAAGGGAACTCCGAGCTGAACGCCTCTCCTCCATATGAGTCAAGTTTAGTTCGTCGACTCGTTGAGAAAGTCGACGTTCCGTTTCTTCGTGTCGGAGGCGCCAACTCTGCTCAACCTCTTCCGTCGCCTTCCTCGCCTCCTCCTTGGATCGACGACGCCACGTTCGCTCCAGCTCCTCCTCTGATCTCTTTCGGTGGAGTTCGGCCTCCTCTCGAAGTTGCAATTCACGCTCTCTGACCTGCCGTTCCAGGTCCCTCTTCAGAAATTCAATCTCATTGAGATCGTGGATCCGGTTTAGGTCACGCTGTCCGACCTTGGCCGCAAGCCGCTCACGGTCAGAGTGGAGCTGATTGTTCTCGGACAAGACCCGGTCATATTCCGGACGCTCAACACAAATAAAATGCCGGGATTTGAAATCCCTCAGCTCCCGTGATAGAGCAGCATTGCGATCCAAGAGACGAAGGGATTGGCGCTGAGCGGAGGAAGTGGCAACATAATCGGCCTGTCGAAAGAGGAAGAAAATAAAATTTAGCAATCAAAAAGAGCATAAGGAAGTGGGTGAAAGAATTAGAATGAAGGAGAAAGAGGACACTGACCATACGAGTATACTCCTCCTGCATAAATGGCTAGGCTGGGCTTTGAATCACATCTGGGTGGTCCCTCTTAAGCTGTTGTATCTCTTGAAGCTTGTTGTTGAAGTCCCGTCCAACCCAGGACGTGTACCCTGTGAACTGATAGGCCTCACGGGCAAAGGGAAAAGACTGACTCCCTTGCCCGGTAAAAAACCCATCATCGGCTGTCCCCATGGGAGGACTGGCGGACACCAGAGAGCCTGGGAGAGGAGTGGAGGTCCAGCCCCTCTTGTGGCGGGCCTGAGAAGAAGAGGAAGACCCAGTCTCCTGAGTTGATGGACAGGGGACGGCAGTGGAACGGATGGAGGATGGGACAGGATCCTTTCCAAAGCTGGAGGACCGAATTAGCTCCTCCGTCTCCAAAAAAGACTGATGGATGTTTGCTCCAGAGAGAGGAACGTTTCGGTGGCCAAAGGGTGTCCCAAAAACACTCCTTGCCGTAGAATCTGCAAAAATTTAGGAAATTGGACGGTTGGGGCTGGGAAATTGCTTCGTCCCCCCCACAGCCAAAGGAGAGGGAATATTCCCAAGGAGATTCAGTGCTGCACGGAATCCCAATCCCGGCCACCTGAACGTGAGGCGGCTCAAGGGACCCTTGCGAACCAGTGGCGCGTCCAGTCGGAAGGGTCCCACTGGTTTGGGGATGGAAACCTAGTGAACCCATGGGCCGAGCCGAAGAAGAAGTCCCCCTGCCAAAGAGAGGAGTGTGGGGAACGCCGGGGATAAGGCTGGATCCCCTCAGGGTCCCCGGAGGGAAGTCGTAGAGGCCATCATCTTCGGAGACGTCCTCAACCACCACCTCTTCCGAAAGGGGAGGTTGGTCGACAATAAAGCATGCGAGGAAGACTACAGTAAAAAAAAAAGTCAAAAAAAATTTATTTTTGACTTGTAAAAAAAGGGGCATGTGATGGGAACCAAGCCCATCGAGAGAATACTAGCGAATTGGGCCTAGGCCCAATTTAGATCCCGTCCATCAAAAGGAGTATCCGGCCCAGAGAAAATATACTACCAGTCAAAGGAAGTGTCCGTGAGGAAAGATAGGAAAAAGGAAAGGATTGGGGGCTTAAGGATGGGCTGAAGCCCAGCCCACTAAGAATAAGCTACCCCAAAAAGGAAAGGAATCCTATGGAAGAGTCTAGAGTAGTCCCCCCTCAATTGAAGGGACAAGGACGAGGAGAAAGGGACGGACAGGGAGCAAGAGATGGACGGACAGGCTTGTCCTCCAGTGGACGGCCTCAAGCTAAGATACATCCCCCCAGAAGGAGCTGGCACGAATATTCCCCCAATCACTGCCATTATTGAAGAGGATAATGGATGGGGAGTGACTATAAAAGAGAAAGAGACTTGGGGAGTAGAGATATTTTGTAATAGAGAGATAAAATACTTGAGTAATAATAAAAGATATTCCGGCGATCCTTAAGCATATTCCGTTCTTAAGAGGACCAAATAAAGGAGAGGACCGCCGGTTTGAGTTCTTATTCCGTGAACTGTGCTTCCATTACTGTTAATTACTATTCTCGTATTATTCTTTCAATATTATAAGGCCCGGATACCTATATTTAGACCTGGGCCGATCTACAGTCCCTGAGAAAATATTGGGTATTCATCAAACAATGACACTAAAAATGATGTGTCATTGTTCTTTTCAGTTTTTTCAACTATTCTCATTTTCTTTAATTTTTTTCTACTCACCAAACAATGACACTAAAAATGATGTGTTTTTCATGTATCATTATTATTATTACTCCCTCCGTCCGGAAATAATCTTCCCATTTCTCCTTTTCCTCCGTCCGAAAATAATCTTCCCATTTCTAATTTTAACCACAATTCTTCCAAAAATACCCTTATCAATCAATTTCATTTACCTTCTCAAACTTCCTTCCTCTACCCGTCCCGTCCCCCCACCCTTTTCTCTCTTCTCAATCGTTTTTCTTTCTTTCTGCTTCTCTTTCTTCTCTTCTTCTTCTTCTTCTTCTTCTTCTTCTTCTTCTTCTTCTTCTTCTTCTTCTTCTTCTTCTTCTTCTTCTTCTTCTTCTTCTTCTTCTTCTTCTTTCTCTTTGTCTCTTCCTCTTCCCCGTACATCTCATCTCTTCTTTCTCCCTCAGTCCCCCTCTTCTTCTCTTCTTTCTCCGACTCTTTTTTTCTTCTTTTTCTCTCCCTTCTTATATCTCTTCCATCTTCTAGATCTGAGCATGGCGGCGGCGACGGTGACAGTAAGTCTAGATTTGCGTTTCTTCGTCTTTTTCTTCTTCATCTTCTTTTAGACTGCACCATGGTGGAGGTGGAGGTGGGGCTTGCGCCGATGGTTAGGCTGCCGGCAGTTGAGTGGCGGCGATGGTGAGGAGAAATAAGTGTTGATGTGACGGGCGGCAAAGGAGGTACTAGCGGCGATGGTTGGGACGGTGATTGTCGGTTGGTCAGGAGGGGAGGGAGAGGGAGGGCATTTTAGGGAAATTACACCCATAGTCAACCTTTCAAAAAAATGAAGAAAAGTCCAAATGGGATGTTTTTTCCCGGACAGAGGGAGTACTATTATTATTATATAGGTTGAAGAAAGTGCATGAGCACTCTTATGAAAAATATTAAAATCACATACAAAAATGTCGCAAAATTTACAAACGTGCCATTTGTGGACTTAAATTTCTATATCTTTAATTATTTTTTTAGTTCTTTTCAGTTTTTTCAACTATTCTCATTTTCTTTAATCTTTTTCTACTCACCAAACAATGACACTAAAAATGATGTGTTTTTCATGTATCATTATTATTATTATGAAAAATATTAAAATCACATACAAAAATGTCACAAAATTTACAAACGTGCCATTTGTGGACTTAAATTTCTATATCTTTAATTATTTGAATCATTTTGTTATTTCGTGTTGTTTAAAAATGACAAATTTACGAATTTTGTAATTATTTTATTCGTAACACTATTATTTCTCCAAGCTTATATATATGCCATTGCCATTGGCAACAATTCCAAGTCCCAAGTCCCAACCCATACGCTAAGAAGCGAACCATGGAATCGAAAAGCATTGCAATGATCTTATTGACTTCCACCCTACTAATGTTCATTTCGTCACCCTTTGGGATTAGTTTGGAACCGGCGGGGGGTGAGAATTCACTTCGGAAACTTCACCTCCCACACGCATTTGGTGGCGAAGACGCAGAATTTGATCCAAAATTGAACGTGTTTTATACTGGCGTTGCAGATGGTAGAATTCTTAAGTTTGTCAATGGTACATTTGTGGACTTTGCCACCACTTCACCTCACAGGTACTCTCTATCTCCCAAAATATTCTACTATTGTCGGTCCAAAAAGTTGTTTTTGTAGGACCTCAGGCGCTACCAACTCTTCTAAAACCAATTGGTGTTAGAAGAGGCGCATACCCTAGCCTTATAGTGCATTCAACACACAAGCAGGGGCGGAGGAGAGGGGGGGCTGCCTGGGCACGTGCCCCCCCAGCGAATGTCCAGCGAAGTACCAACGATGATGATGCGCAAGTCGTGCCCCCCAGTCCGATGTCCGTTGTTCCGTTGAGGAAGATGAGTTGCAGGTTTTAATGAACCGATCCGATCAGGAGACTAGACACCACGTTAGTTTCAATAAGGCTTTTTCCCCTACGACGTCGTTTCCCTAAGTATATTTTAAAATTATTATTTTTAAAACACCTATCTTCAAGCACCCAACCTCTTCATTGGATTATATTCTTCCGGTTTCCGCCCTCCCCTCAGCCAATCGCCTAGCGCCAAAGCCGCTGTGCACCACAGGTGTTTTTAATGGGTTAAGTTATAAATTTATTCTAAAACATTAATTTTAATGCTTCAATTTATAAATCTGCTCAAAAAACATTAAATTATTGGCGATTTTTTGTTTTCAATACTCTTAATTTTAATGCTTTAGCTCATACGAAGTAAATAATTGCGAGTTTTTTGTTTCTAGGTGAAGAAATGCATGTAAGTTTTTTTAGGGCGTGATAGAGTAATTTGATTTTTTCCCTTATTTAAGAGATTATTGTTGAATACCAATTTTAAAAAGAGATTATTTTTTTAGGCATACTAATTATAATGCCATTTAATTATTTTGTTTTGAACTACTACCTCTATCTCAAAGTATTCATCTAGTTCGACCTTTTCAAGTCAAATTTGATAAATTTTAAGGCTCGGTTAATAAGTAAAAGCTAAAATATATATTAATATAACAATGATTTTATTAGATTTAGGCAGCGTGCCGTTCAACATATTTTTGTGCTTATTACTTATTCTTATTAACTTTTAATATTTGAGAAAATTTAGGACAAAGAAAGTATTTGAATATTTGAGAAAATTTATTAACTTTTTGACATTTCTATTGTGTTTTTATTTTTTAATAATAAAAAAATCTAGGGGCGCTGCCCCGGACCCCCACAATGTGCCCCCCCACTCATGGCGTCCTGGCTCCGCCACTGCACACAAGCGCCCACGACATTCGATTGTGACTTGGCCCACATAGCCTCCGCCACGGGACAATTGCTGCACACATGGCCAACAATCTCCNCCCCCCCCCCCCCCTCAGCAATTGCTCCCGCTGGGAATCGAACTTGTGACCTTGGCTCCGATACCACTTGTAGGACCTCAGGCGCTACCAACTCTTCTAAAACCAATTGGTTTAAGAAGAGTTGGTAGCGCCTGAGGTCCTACAGTTTTATTTTTCACTTTTGAAACAAAGTACTTGTGTCTCATATTATTTCTCGCAAAATAATTAGTCTTTTTAATATTCAGTCGTACCCAGTCAAACGTGGAACATTTTTGCACGCTGGAAGGGTAATAATTATTTTTAGGAAAATACTTTCAGTTTAATTCAGTGTAGTTCCATTAAGTGAGGTTTTTTTCGTTCTAATTCAACAATTTTAAGTTAAAATCTATTTTCCCTGTCCAAAAATGTTTAGGGTTTGACTTGATATCTGTTTAGTAAAGTGAAAATGCAATGGTGTAGTACAATTTTGTTTAGAGAAGAGAAAAAAGAAAGGGGAACCATAACCCATAGTAATAAGATGTGAAATACTTCCTCCCTTTAAAAAAAGAAACAGTTCCTCTATGTTTTTTTCGTTTTCTTCAAAATACATCTAGTTTTGCAAAAAATAATTAATTTATCCAAACAAATACATTGCATTGATATAATAAATTGTTTAAGTGATTTGTCTCTATTTTTTCTTCGATGCTAATGATATGATTAAAAAGTCAAATTACAAAAATAAATCTACCAAATGTCAAAATAAGTTGGGGATCAAGAATAACTAATTTTTAATGAAGTTTAGCATAACAAATTTAAAATGTTTGGAGATTTGTATTATTTTTTTTAACTCAGGACTAAAGAAGAATGTGAAGGCAAAAGTGGGCCAATGTATCATCGCCCATGCGGAAGGCCTTTGGGCCTTACCTTTGACCATCGCACAGACATCTCTGACGCTTTCTATGGGCTTCTAAAGGTCGGCCCAAATGGCGGGCTGGCTACTCAGTTAGTGGCCGGCGTCAATGGTCAAAGCTTCGGCTTTCTAAACGCGGTGGAGATTGATCAGTCAACGGGGGATTTCTATTTTATAGATTCCGGCGCCATTTTCCTCCTAGTGTACGTTCCTCTACCACTACTTGATAGTCTTACCTCCCACCTTGAGTCTTTCAATTTTAATACAAAGCTTCGGCTTGGTGTATACTTCAAATGATTAATACTTTTCCCGTCCAAAAATAATCTTTTCACTTTGACGTTACACACAAAAATTAAGAAAAAGTAAAAAATATTTAATTTTCCATATTTGCCTTGGGTTATCACAAAAAGTGAAATAATGTGTAAGTATGGATAGTAATTAATGAATAAAGGTGAGGGTAGTGACGTGATTTTTAAGAAAAAGTATTTTCCAAAAAAAGAATTGAGAAATTAATTTATGAACGGACAAAGAAGCAAAGTGGGAAGATAAATTATGAACGAATGGAATCTAACTTTATCGGGGTGCAAAAGAGTGTTGTAGTCGGATTCCGTATAAGGTAGTATTTGGAAACTAGTACTCCGTATTTCATTTCAATTCATGCATTTCAATACCAAAATTTGAAATCTTAAATTTTAAATGATAATGAGAGGTGCATAGATTTCAAATTAAGTTTTTTTATAAATGAGAGAAATTTGACTCAAATCCAATTTTTAAAGTTTTCCAAATATGGAATCTGAGCCAAATCTAAATTTGAAATTCAAATTCATGTTTCCAAACATACCATAAAGGTTATTGGTGGGACTAGGTAGATCATATTCTCTACTACTCAATTGAGAATAGATTTTCATTATCATGTCTAGGAGATCTTATGATGGGGTTCATTTTTTTTATTTCCAACACAATAATTTTACTATTAATATACTTTCACAAGCTTTTACACAAATTTTGACTCCTTTGCTTAAATTTTACAATCTTTGGCAACAAATAATGAAAAAATTATACTTAGTTGTAATGTAATTTTAATCTAACTGGGTAACTAGGATGAAACTTTGATATATCAAATTTATAACATTTATTTATTTAAAATTATATTTGTCAATAATCTAGGTGTGATTGTGTGAAGTTGTTTGATTCAAAAAGTGAAACTGTAAAGATTTTTTTTGAACGGAGGGAATATGTTATTATATATATTGACTTAGGGGCTGTTTGGCAACTTCTGAATAGGTAAGTGCTGAACCAGTAAGAGGTCTGAACCATTAAGTGCTGAACCAGTAAGAGGTCTGAACCATTAAGAGCTAGTATATTGTTTAACTATTTAGAGGCAAATGTCTGATCAATTCAGATAAGAGGTCTTAACCATTCAGACTCTGTATAATACTTAACCATTCAGAGGCAAATCTCTTAACTATTCAGACATCTGAACTATTAAGAGGCTGAAATAAACAGTCTGAACCATTAAGTGCTGAACCATTCAGACATCTGAACCATTAAGAGGCTGAAACAAACAGCCCCTTAGTAACCCTACCAAAGATTGTACAGTCTAGTGGGATCAATGTGACTTTTCTAAAAGGGTGGTCAAAGGTTCGACCTCCAATGGAAACATTGACAATTTATAGTATTTAATATGTTGGGAAAGTATATATGTTTGAATAGATAGTAAACATATATTGATATAAAAAAGACATAGAAACCTTAGTGACACGTCTAGGTAACTAAACATGTACATACTTTGTAGGGGCAATCCAAGTATTTTTAGGAGCGGAGACACGACAGGGAAGCTTTTTAAGTACGAGGCAACGACTGGTGAAGTGACAGCGGTTCTAGATGGGCTTTCAGGGCCGGCAGGAATGGCCATGAGCAATGATCAAACATTCCTTATCATATCTGAGTACATCTCATGAAAAGTTTTCAAATATTACATAAAAGGCCCAAAGGCGCAAACAAAGAAGACACTACAACTTGAAAACCTCAAAGGACATCCGGTGAACGTGAAAAGGGCCAAGCCGGAGGGGTTTTGGATGCCCTTGAACATATTCAGTGATGACCAATCAAGTATTGTTACCAAAGAATCCTTTGCAGTGAAGTTTGATGGGAATGGAAAAGTTTTGGCCAAAAGGAAAATTAGCATTCATATGCCTAATTTTACGAGTGTGTATTTAGAACACGATGGTAGAGCTTATACGGGCTCAACGTATTCCGAATTTATGGGTGTGGGTATGGCACTTCCAAACTAGCTAGCTCGAGGGTGATGGATGATCTTCTATATCACAAATTATTGCTCTTTGTACTAATCACTTGTGATTGATTGAAGAATACGGAATAACTATTTTTTCAATCAATGAGATGTGATTGATGCATAGAACGATTCAATTGTGGTATAAGAGATCTTGGTTCATAAGACTCGGAGTTAAATTATATGCATGTCCATTATATATGGACATCTACCGGCAGTACCATTAGACAATGTTCGGCTTTTATGAAGCCACTAGTCTCTTTGTGCTTATATAAGAGTTACTTGTAAGAATAAGAATCAAAATAAAAATACTTATGTGATGCAATTAATGTATGTGTGTTTGCATACTAAAAATAAAAAATGCTTATTTGATTCGATTAATTTTACAGAGGATGTTGTCAATGCCTTCTCCATTACAAAAAAAGAGGCTGTTGTCACGAAATTTTTCACGAAGTATAGTTTCAATTTTTCCTCATTAAGTCTCTTGTCGTGAAGGAAGACTTGCGCAGAATGTCTTATGACAAGAATTTGTGAAGCTTATAGAGGGGACATACGCCATTGTCAGATCTTCCCCTCTGTCGTTAATGAACTCGTGAATAAGATGTATTTGTGACGTGCCCACTACAGAAGTGAAAAGTGAGTGACTTATTTCGGGAAAGATGATGTATTTGTGAATTTCCCTCTCGGAACCTTCACTATACTTGTTTTTTCTTATCTAGACCAAAAACATATTTACATATCATCTAGTCATCTATGATAGAATTTAGGATTGGGTAGATATAACTGAATTGAGCAATAAGACACTTGGGCAGAACCACATTAAAAGATTGAATCCAATCGATTAGTTAGTTCAACTCAAGAACTTATATACCGATTATTTTCCTCACACTTTTCCGATGTGGGATACTCTTAACACTCCCCCTCAAGTGGACGACCGGGCATTTTTGAATCTAACCGGTTGACCACTTGCAAATGGACTCTCATCCCCTTGAATTTTTTTGAGCACCAACATCTAAAGGACCACGAGCCGCTGGGTATAGACTTCCACACGAGCAATCGTGTTAAACAAGCCACAAGCCGTTGGGTACATACTCCATAGGGACAACTGGGCTAAAGACAAACGGGCCGCTAGGAATGAACGTCTAGACGGACACCTTGACAAACGAGGTGGGCCAAAACCTGCTCTGATACCATGATAGAATTTAGGATTGGGTAGATATAACTGAATTGAGCAATAAGACACTTGGGCTGAACCACATTAAAAGATTGATTCCAATCGATTAGTTAGTTCAACTCAAGAACTTATATACCGATTATTTTCCTCACACTTTACCGATGTGGGATACTCTTAACAATCTACAATTGCAAAATCATCTCTTAAGAGTCTATACTTGTGAATATATAGTGAGTGGTATTATTGGATAGTCTATGCCATTGACGTGCAATGGCAGCTTTCGTTAACTACTACTTTGCATTAATGAATGACAATTCAATAAGGAGAGCTTTTCAAGAGCACATACCTTTGATGAAGATTAGCTCAGAAGATTTTTGTCCAAAGCCCCATAGAATCAAGCCCTAGTAAACACTAAACACACTCGCGTAAATTCTTTATTAATCAACAAATAACAAAATACAAATTGAAGTCCTATTAAGCAATGAAACTCCATCTTTGAGTTGCCCAGGTTCCACATCACCCATAAATTTTTCAATTTCTTCCTACAAAGATGTGCATATATGGTGATCTCTCTCTGTATGTACATTAATCAAACCAATCCCTTGTTGGAATATATTGAATTGTATGATTACCTTTTTCCATGGCAGGTACGTACAACCTTGATCTTTAACTTCTGTTCGAAAACCAATCCATTTTCATCTAAAAGTAAAGAACTTGAAATCATTATGGAGTATATCACATCAAATAGTATAAATGATTAATATTTTACGGACAATTTTTATCAAGCAGATGTATTATACCTATAAGGACTTCAGCAGAATGGAGTCAAAATCGGAGAGAGGTGACGATGTACAATTACGACTTGAACTAGCCCTACCACTTTGATTTGATGTATGAGCAGGACGGTCTGCATAGGTCCAAGAGTAGGTGAAGCAAAAGAGGGGTCAAAGTATGGAGAGTAGCTGATGATAAAAATTCAATTCTTCCCCAAGTTACTTCCCAATAGTAGCATTAAAATTTCCAATATATGCAGAAGACTTGCTTGATAATTCTCGGCATAGCATATCAGTGTGCACCACAGCAAACTCAATATCATCCTCAAATAATTTCATTTCATCACTTAATTTACCCAAAATGTCATATATTCGCAAACAGCGAGGATGTGAATGGTCTTCTGCAATAAAAGCATGCACCTCATTATTAACTTCTATCCAACTCTTACCAGGGATCTTCTTCACTCCCTTGTCTTTCATCAACCTCTTTACAGAAGCTATTTCATCCCAAAGCTTTTGCTTTCCAAACATGTCGGTGATCAAAACATAAATGCAATGTTCTCCAGGATCCAATTCCAACAAATGGTGTGCTACCTCGCTGGCTAGTTCAATATCGCCACATGTTCTGCAGGCTCCAAGTAGTGTTTTCAAAACCATTGAATCCGGTTGGAACGGCATACCCCGAATAAGCTCCTTTGCCTCCTTCATAAGCCCAGCCCGCCCGAGTAAGTCTATTGCACAAGCATAATGTTCCATTCTTGGTGGGATCCCATAATCAGATTCCATAGAATTCAGAAAATTTCGACCTTCTTCTACCAGACCAATGTGGCTACAAGCAGTCAAAACAGCAACAAAAGTGACATGATCTGGATTGACTTTCCATTTTGTCATTGAAGAGAAAAGATCAAGTGCAACTTCACCCATCCCATGTTGTGCGTATGCAAATATAATTGCGTTCCAAATGATTGAACTGTCCTTTGGTGATTCTTCAAAGGTTCTACATGCATCGTCAATGTGTCCACACTTGGAATACATGAATATCAATGTGCCAGTGACATATTCATATACATTGACTCCTGTTTTAAATATCAAGGCATGAACCTGTTGACCCAATCGAGATATTGCCAGATCTGAACAAGATCGAAGGATGGCTGTAATGGCATATTGATCCATTTCAATGCTGTGAGACCTCATTTCCTCAAATATCTTGAAGGATAATTCATTTAATGAATTTTGGGACAATCCTGTTAAAATTGTATTCCAGGATATAGAATCTTTTGCATCCAAAAATTCAAAAACTTTCAGCGCATCATCAATATAACTACCATTAGATTTGAGATACATGGAAATTAAAGCATTAGCGATGCTTGTTACATTTTCCAATCCCCTCTTAATAACCGAAGTGTGCAAGCATTTTCCATGGCTTTTTGGATGAATTTCATCAGTAGCACTAATTATAGTAGTAAATGTATATATATCTGGATCCAAACCAAGTCTTCCCATGTCCAAGAATAGCCTATATGCTTCCATCCCTTGATCACATTCTACGTAAGCTGCTATCAATGAATTCCAAGTGATCAGATCTCTACAACTGTTGGTGCCATCAAACACTTTCTCTGCATTCTCAATGCTTCCACAGTTAGCGTATGCGCTAATTAGAGCATTAGAAACTGCATTCTCAAAATCCAATCCAGATTTTAGGATTCTTCCATGAAGCTGCATTGCAAGCGTGTAAAACACCTGCTCATCTAACAAGGCCAAAATTGGACAGAATGTTCCATCATCCAACTGCACGTTCTCTCTCCCCATTCCTTCCAACAACCGAAAACAATTCTCACGGTCACCAGTCACCGCATATCCTGCTAGTAAAGCATTCCACGAAACAGTGTTGCGCTCGGGCATATGGAGAAACACTTTATTTGCATCCTCCATACTTCGACACTTGGCATACATATCTATCAGAGCACTTGCAGAATAAACATTCCCATCGCACCCCATCTTGACAGCATCCGCATGCACCAGTAGCCCAAAAGAGAGATCAGCATTAGCGGCAACACCTTTAAGAATGCTCCCGAAGGTGTAGACATCAGACACAAGACCATGCTGCTTCATGGATTTCAAGAAATCCCAAGCACTCCAGAAGTTCCCAGAGTTCACGTAGCCAGCAATCATGGTGTTCCAAGAAGCTGTGTCTCTGTGCGGCATTTCATCGAACAGCTTGAGAGCAGCAACCAGATCTCGGCATTTTGCGTAGACACTCAGTACCTTATTGGTCCCGTAAGTGTACCCAATTTGAGCGGATTTGATGAATCGACAATGGGCAACTGCAGCTTTTGATGCAGAAATCATCGAGGTCTGTAGTGTTTAACTTCTCCTTGAGCATTGATACAAATGCTCACTGGCTAAGGCATTGAAGTCTTGAGTGCATACAGTATCCAAACAAGCCTTGTCTGTGCTTTACTCAATCTGATGAATCTGAGCTCTGAACGGAAGCCACCTATAACAAAATTAAGGGTATCTGGTGTTTTTGTGAGTTGATTTGTTGGGTTATAAACCCCCCTGAACATTTTTTAACTTATACTCCATAACAAAATGTAAACTACTTATAAATTAAATATTTTTTCATTAAAATAAAATGATTTAAATTATAGATAAATTATTTGGAGATATTCATTACAATAAAGACATAATTTTGTAAATAATTTCATTAAAATTGGAAAATAAATAGGTAAGTCTTGCTTAGTTTCTTGAAAACGTAGAAAAACACGTCAGAATATGAAAACAATTTAGAAGCTATTTTGACAAACTTATACACACAAAGAAACACTCACTAAATGTCTAAATCTAAATAGTATTTTTGGATTCTAAATATATATACACACACACATATATATCTAAAGTTATTCAAAATTGGTATTTGCTTTTTTGGTGATTCAGATTAAATTTTAAAAAGTTGAAACATAGGGATATATAGGTTGAAATTTTAAAAAAATGCAAATGTGATAGAAAAAGTAAGAGAGAATATGCAAAAGTGATTGAAAAGTAAAAGAAATAGTGGCAAAGTGATTTTAAAATATTAAAATAGGAATAAAACATGGAAAAATACTAAAATAGAAGTTCCTTTTTTTATCTGTATAATTAGAGTTACAATGCAATAATGTCACAATATATTGACAAAAAACATTGTGAAATGGTAATATGCAATGTCACAATATCACAGTGTAAACTTTTATTTCGGACTTAAACACATGAAACTCCTTTTTTGGGATAAAAGTTATGTATTGTTCTTATTTGGATGATTTGTTTTTTAAAAAATAGAAAATGTAATTTGATGGAGGTTGGCTCCAAGTCATCAGATGGTCCCACAGAACCCACGGACGGCCCCTCGCTAGGGGCACCCCTTGCCACCTCGGCTCGAGACCACTGAGGTGAGCTCATCAACTCGGTCAGGAGGGCCAAGTGATGGGCACCCATTTGTTAGGCTTCAACTCAAGGTGGAAGGAGGGGGAATCAGGGCTGAATGGATTCAGGGAGACAGTAGGTGTCTTGGGTTGGTTTTGGAAGAAGATTTAAGTAAAGAAATGGAAGTATTTAGAGGAGGGATGTCCTGATAAGAAAATGGCAGCAAAGGGAGGATAGGTTTTAGACTATATTTTGTATAAGGAAGGGTGAAAATGAGTTGTCTTTAGAGGAGGGAATGGAGGGGCTGAGTTGAAGAAAGAAAAAGGGCATGAGTTTCTTTTGGTGTTTTTTTTAGATAAACCAAGTTGGTTTAAGAGATATTACACACTCTTATCCTTACTTGGGGTTGGAGTCTAGCATTCAAATAAGATATTACACACTCATTTAAATAACTAGAACCTAAAACTCACACTCAAGAGAACCACTCTTAAGATATAGATTTAGGAATTTAAATAGCAAACACAATAAGTGTATTACTAAAGAAAAGGAGAATACATTGAATGGATTTGCAAGGCCCAAGGCTGAAATATATATACACACACAAGGGAAGCTACCAAGCATCTCCTTCACACAAATCTAAAGGAATAAAAACCATTTATTAATGTCCTTTTGGTAGGGAAAAATCAGATATGGGGATGGGTTTGTGGGGCTGGAGTTTCAGTTTATAGTGACTGGCCAGGCATGTGTGAGTGAAAGCCATACCTTGATTGGTTTTTTGGTGAGGTCTTTTCAGCCAAGTGGGGAAAAAAGAGAGGAATGGTCTGGCTATCCTTTTGGATGTATATCCTGGGTGTTATGCAGGGAACAAGAGAGGGTGGATTGGGTTGGTGGTGGGTCAGGGCTGTGCAGATTTGCTGGGGAACATAAGGGGGGACAATGGCAGGTCTATTATGTGAAATAAGAGGGGTTTTGGCTGGTATTTTCAGCCCTCATATGGGGGGAATGAAGTGAATTAACTGGTTGTGGTTTGGCAAGGAATTTTGGCCAGGAGTGTATTAATTCAATGAAGGGCAATGTGGGGTTCATAGGGTGTGGTAGTGTTGTCCAAAGAAAGTAAGAGGCTGAGTTGTTTGGATTTTTGGGGTTCGATTTTTTGTGCAGGGGGGTTTTCAGCCTCTATGGGGTGGAGAAGTCCAAAAAGATTATGGCTAGGTTTTGAGGTTTGTTGATTAATTCATTCCAAAAAGAATCATAATACCTAGTCATTATTCCATTGATTTGTTTAAGGACTTTGGGATCATTGGTAGTACCCGGGGATATATCACATTTGCTGGCACGTGAAGCTTCCACATGGGGACAGATGTGAAACCATAAGGCTCCAACGTCCAACGACGAGAACTAGGCGACCAGGGAGTGTCATGAGCCTCCCAATGAATCTTCAAGACCAAAACAATAGCTAGGCGACGAACGAGTGTCAAAATCACGATTATTATCGTTGTATAGTGCCTTGTAAGGGATCCGAAATCGACCAAATATATTCCTACTTTGCACACACATTCTCTCTCCATTCAGTTTCTCTTCCTTATTTGACTTACTGACCCCAAAGTCGGATTACTCTATGGTTTATTACCGTCATAATTAAAAAGATAAATTAGTTGTTTCAAATTTAAAAGTGTGTCTTTTGGGATAGACAATTAACCTAAAATCACTAATTTCTACGGAACATTTCAGATAAAAACTTCAAGAAATTAATGATTTGACGTTAATACTCTGAAACACAACAATTAACTTCAATGCTCCAAAACATAATTATTTTTACATTAAAAATCACTCTAAATAGGACTAAAACATAGAGAAAAGTATCAAAATATGACTTCCATGTTTTTTTTCCTGAAATAGAACTTTGCATTGTGGTAATGTGGCAGTGTACATGTGCACATTAATATACTTTTTTGGTAATGTATATGACCATGTTTGGTAATATAAGTCATATTTCGGGAATAAAAACATGAAAGTCTTATTTTGGTATATTTCCAAAGTTTTAGTCCGGCATACTTTGGTTTATCTTCCTTTTTACATTGATTCTATGTAATTCCAACTAAGCAAAATGCACGACAAATTTTTATGTAGTCATCATAAGATTCATACTCAATTTATTGACATTAATACATAACCACCATGAAAGAGTCACTTATAAATTATGTGGGCTTTAGGATTACGAAAATACATCTCAAGAGAAATACGTGACATTTTAAATGTTAGCCGTGCATATATTACGTATAAGTTCAAAACTACTAAAAAATAAAGGAAACACTTGAAATGTGTTGTAAAAAGACCCCCTGCCTCCCACTCCGGTTTTAAACTAAAATACGGTAAGACTGTAAATCTAAAATTTATTCATATTGTAATAAGATAAATTATGAACAGTGTTTCACAGAAAATTTTGAGAATTTTAAAGTTAATAGTCTATATTCAAAATTATATTCGTTCAATAATTCCAAGGGAGATATATCGATATTTATGTAGCATATGAGCTACATATTTTAATTAATAGGCATTTTAAGAGTAAACAAATCCTTAACAAAGAGTATAAACATGAAAAAAGTAAAATTCATTTAGTTTGACCATTATTTAAAAAAACAAAAGGGTATGAATGAAAAATAAAAATACAAGGATAAAAATTTGATAAGATATACTAGAGTAACTTTTATGATCTATTTTTGTCATTTTATTTTAAAAATGATTGTATGACCAATTCAATTTTAATTTTCACTTTTTATTCTTTTAAAATGAGAACAACTTGAAATCCATTAGTTTCATCCTTTCACAAGATTTAAAAGGCTTTGTTCCGTTCAACTTATTTTTTCTGATCTGATTTTTTGTAGTTCTGATCTGATCTGGTCTGATCTGATCTGATTGGATCTGATCTGATCTGATTGGATCTGATCTGGTCTAATCTGATTGGATCTGATATGATCTCATCTGATTGGATCTGATCTGATTAATTATGATTTGATTTAAAATTCAAATCAATAATTTGATTTGAGTTTATAATAACGTTTGAAAATTGTAATGATAATTCATATTAGAATAAAATAAAATTAGTTAATTTATATATTAGAATAATCATTCATATTTTAATGTAATAATATTTTTTATTTTATGATTATTGTTTGTGAAATAAGAATATTGATTTAATATTTTAATAATTTGTTCATACATACATTAGAATAAATATTTAATTTATATAAAATCAATACAGAGAAGAGATAGTATTAAAAAGAAGAAGAATTAATTTCTCAGTTTTTTATTTAACTTGTTTCTAAAGTTTATTCTTTTTCATTTTTAAGAATAATAATAATAATAATAATAATTCTTTATGGGATCTGATCTGGTCTGATCTGATTAGATCTGGTCTGATCTGATTTGTTCTGATCTCATCTAATCTGATTTGTTCTGATCTGATTTTAATAAGAATAAGAAAAAATAAGTTGAACGGAACAGGGTCTTAATTATAGAATTTATTTCTATGAGACATATACAAGAAATACAGTTTTGATTATAAAATACTCCCTCCATTTGGGGAAATAATCATCCTATTACACGATATGAGATTTGACCGACTTTATTTTCAATTTATTTGATTTGATTGTAGCTTTAAAATTTAAAATAAAATTTATATAGTAAAAGACTGCGTAAAAAGTGTTAAACAATATACTAATATTACTCCTGGTAGTATTGGCTATGATACTGTTTGATTATTAGTCAGCTTCCTATTTCTATTTGTAGTAAATGTTGTGTTTTAGTTAGTCTTCATTCTCTATAACTAGTTGTGTTAGAAGTCTCTTCTATATATACTCTATCATGTACTTTATAATTCAAGGAACAATATTATTATTTCAATATTTCAACATGGTATCTAAGCCATCGTTCTTGGTGACCTAAAAGAGTTCTTTGCTTCCGCCGTTGCCGCCGTTAATTCCGGCGACGGCGGCTCCACCCTACTCACCTGTATTTTCTTTTCCTTCTTTTGTCCTCAAATCAACTTCTCCATTCAAATGGAAAAAAAGAAAAGCAAAAAACCCCTGTGTAAATCACACACAAAAAAGACCATTAAAGGAGGAACTTCTCTCTTGTCATCTTCATGGTTCTTCAAAAAAAACCAATTCCTCACAAACTCCCTCCACTCATCCTTGTATATACTCAAAATCATGAAAAAAAATGATATTTGTTTCTCTACAATTCACTATCGAAGATTCTGAGACCTAGTTCTTTTCTTCATCAGCAATTCTTAATCCCCCTTAGTTGTCAATCATACTTAACAATTGTTCAACTGTCATTCAAAGTGTCAAGCATCTACCTCAGTTAACAGACTGGGAGGAGTGACGTCAAGAATTTATATATATCCTATTTTTAAAAATTTATTTAACTGTATAAATATTCATTACAAATTTAATGTAATTGATTATTATAATTCATCAAATTTAAGTAAAAAGGAATCCAATTGAAAAAATTGGAAACAAATAGCCCAATCTAGAAATTTGTAATTCATAATACTACGTAACAAATTATATTTAAAAAAGAAAAAATCAAGGATTTGTAATGATTTCAGAAAACATCTAAGAAATGGAATTGACCATAGATTTCCCCCAACTACATTAGTCACACTTCCGCTCTTAAAACTAGCTAGTGATTACAAAACTGAACCAAACTAGAAGCAATGGGTTATGCATGGTGTATACCACATATACCACTTGTACTTTAAGATGTTGCAATTGTTGGAGTTGTGCCCTGATGGCCAACTGTTTATCATTATTCTATCATGTATAGGCAGATATAATATGTTTACACATCTCATGCTAATGTAAACAAATATTATATTCCTAGATATATATTTAAAGATGTTTATCAGATAGTGTTATTCTGCTGATGAGACTAACATCTTGAAATAAATATTTATCTAAATGTCCATAGTCGAGTATTAACGAGAGTGGGATATCGTTAATGCATGTAAGACTAGTGTGTGTTGGATGTTTGACTTAGTCTCATGGTCAATGACGGTGTGTTCGCATCCGCACATGGGCAGATATTATCTAGAGATAATAGGATGCCGGACTGACCCATTCTAAAGATGTTGCTTTAATTTTTAGTTCATTCTCTAAGCATCTTTAGCGCGACCACGGGTGTAACTATCCTTCGACTTGAAGTATTACGTTTTCTGCATATGTGAACCCGCATACTTTGATGCATCGTCCTAAGCCATATGAAATAAGGATGGTATACAGGCTTTGTTTTGGGTATGTCGCAGCGCGTATTCAGAAACGTAGATTACGTACATAGGATTTGTCACTACTCTTTTTAAGAGATTAATGTCTTATGGGGCCCACTGATAAGTTATGACTGAGGAAATTGCATGGCCATGCTGAGATGCTTTTATGACGTCTGTTCCTATTAGTCAGCCTTGATAAATCAGTGAATGACTTAATGGATACAAGTTGGATTTTATTAATCCCTTGCATTAAGTTTAGACATTGAGACAAAGGGATACAGTTACACGGAGTCTGAGTCGTGGAAAGGTTTTGACGGTGCAAACGTCTTAACTTATAATCTGGGGGCAATAATGTGTTGCTAGATACCGCTTATTGCTTATAGTATTGGTGCAGAGCCAATACTGTGGCCAGCTTTATAAGTGCCTATACGGGTCACACACTTTGAACAATTTAAGGAGTAGGATTAAACAATGGGATAANAATACACTTTGAACATTTAAGTAGAGAAGAATTTCACAAATCCTTCTCACAATCTACACTTACGGTCAAAAGAGATTTCAAAGGAGAAATTTTCTTTGATTGGAATTTGAGTTGGCTAATTGTTTTGTCATTTAGCTAATGACAAATTAATTACACAACTTTGAATTTGTTAAATGCTCCTCCACGCCACTTTCATAAGAGAAGAGAAAAAGATTATGATATTCATTTTAAGAGAGAGAAAGTGATTATTTGGGGTTCCATGAATATCATTTTATGTATAGAAAATATCTATAATATTTTCTAAATATTATTAGAAATATTTTCTATAGAAATATACAAGATTATTATTATCCCAATTTTAATCTTTATATTTTATACTACTATAATCTTTACTAGCATAAAGATTGTGGTAGACTCCGGCGTTGTTCGTGTGTCAAAGTTGGAGACCGGACGCTTGAACGGTTACGTTTGCACTTTCAACGCTCTTCCTACGACCTCTTCGTTTTTACCGCTTACGGAGAAAGGCATAAATTTCTTACTCACTATAAGTTTTAGTACGTGATTCTGGGAAAGATAATCATGTTAGGATGTTAAAATTTTTTATATTCCGCTGCCTATCCTTGCATGGTTACCTTTCAGCAATGAGGAGGGGTAATCTTACATAATTTTAGTGGTGTTACACAAATTCAATTGGAGCACCTTCGGTGCTCTAATCATAAAATTGATTGTTTTTACTTCTTCTAACTCACCCTAGTAAACCTCTAGCCTGCCTCGTTCTCAGCACACCCTCACACCCCGCTAATTTCATTGCACCAAATTCTATTGACTTCTGGGTCAAATTTTTGGCCTAAATTTGATGTAACAAACTTGGTGGGGTTATGGGCATGTGTTAGGAACGGGGATCGGAAGTTATAGACTAAGAATAATCAATTTTATCCTCAGATAGAATATCGTATGTGAAGTAAATTCAATTGGTGTAACAAAAACATTTTGGTAAAGTAATTGTTTGGTTTATTAAGTGAGAAAATTTGTAGAGGATAGCCCCATTCTCCGGGGCTCTTCAGACCCGACCGAACGGTTAGTGGAAAAATTTGTAACTTGGCTCTTCAAGGTTTCGGGCCTGTTTGGGAATAGCGTTAGCGTTTTCAAAATAATCTACACCATTAAAATTTTATCTAAAACGCTAACGCTAATGTCTAAGGCTTCTCATTGTAAACAATCAAAATCAACCCCACCAGGGTGGCCGAGTATTTCTCCATCGACTCCAAATGTGTTTGCCAATGATTCGACGGCTTCTGGGAATGAGCACGCAGAGTTGTTCGATTCAAGCTCTGTACGATCTCTGCAAGAAGACCTTTCCGCACTCTTCAACTCTCCAACCTTCTCCTCAAGCCATCCACAAGCTCTCTTCCTTACTCGGTACTCCATTTCCCCCCTGCTCTTCTCTTTTTTGTATGGGATCCTCCATAAGGATTTAATGAATCATTGAATTATGATGAAATGAAAAAGTAAATTTTCAGTGTATTATTGTTATTTCAATGCTATGTTGAACGGATTCTTCAATCGGTTGTTGTTTTCTATCATCGAACTATCCTGGGTTCTTACTTGCTGATGTCTTGACAACGGAGTAGCATTTAGAATTGGGAAAAGTTCGTATTCCCTGTCCTGTTTTAGATTTCATGTATGGAATCAAATATGTGGAATACGGAGTAATATTTATTTCTCCCGTTTGTTACGCAATTGTGTTAGTGAGTTTTGAAGTTGTGACCTCTTGGTCAACAAGACTCTAATACCATGTGAAGGAATCAAGTCAACTAAAAGCTCAAACTTGTGGTTGTGGCTCAAGAAAGGTTTTTATATTCTAATATAGTACATTGGACAATTCATGTAAATTTATTCTCTAAACGGGAGGTTGTAGGTTTGATCCCCAGTGGGGCGTTGGCTCACTTTGTTTCAGTCAATAGTACTTAAAAAGATTGGATGCCCCAAAAAGGCGTCTAGGCGCAAGGCTTCAATTAGTTTTTCACCTTTTGTCCTGGCTTAGGATCTCATTAAGCATGTCTCTTTTCTGCTGCCTGCCACTAGATGTACGTAGAAGGATGAGAAGCAAGGTTGGCTCAACTGGGTCATATTCCTTGCATAAATGCTCATGTGGTGACACTTCCTACGGTTTCTGCAGATACAGTTAACCTTGATGATGTTGGCCTGAAAGATGAAAGTCAAGAAGATGAAAGAGGCCATGGCCTTTTTGGAATCAACATGTCTAACCGTGTTGATCGATGGGCTCAACCATTAACATACATAGATATCCACGCGGGAGAAAGTTTTACGGTATGATCTTGTCTTGTCTGTTAATCTCAATTATGTTGTGGATGCGAGAATGTGTATATCCGTACTGACTGCACAACTTTTTATGGAGTAGCATTTGGCAGCAGTTAACTAGGTAAGAATAATATCCATTTCCAAGCTAACTAACCTGTAGTTAACATTTTTAGCTAAGCATAAATTTACGTTTGAAAATAAACAATTTGCATTTCTAGACTCTCTACTCAAAATAACCTGTAAAAACATTGATTACGTTCCAACATTTAAAGAACGGATGAAGTATATAACACAAATAAGGCTTCTGGTGAACCTGTTTTCTAATTGTATCTTTGTGAATGATTTGGCTTGTGATCAGTCATCAGTGACAAAATTATTGTTGACTATTCTGTCTAGATTACATTGACATTTTTATTCTTTATTGTATATTCTGAGTTGTTTCTTTTAGAGCTGGTGTTCAATTTCTACCAGGTGTTCTACTTTTCCTTGAAATACACTACTCTAGTTCATACTTAGGTCACACTTAGGTGTGTGCAGCCATACTTGCTGGATTTGATGTCACTCCTATCTCAAATTCTAAAAATCCACAATAGACGGCTATTTCCACATAAGCGCTAGGCTTCTATTGGTCCCATACATATCTTTTCCGGATATGACTCACCCTACACCCTTTGCATGTGCTGGGGGTCTCTTGGGTAAGGTCTTCGTACACACACCCTCCCCAAACCCACTATTGTTGGATTATACTGGGGTTGTTGTTGTTGACCTGCCCTGCACCCCTAGCTAGGGGTTTAAGATGATCACATTATTTGTGAGCTATTCAAGATTAATTTGGTAATCACTTGAATTCAATTCGGATTTTGTGTAGCAAGCAGCCTTTCAACTACCTTGACTTGTTTAGGAATAAATGAGTGAATAACCAATTCACGTGGAGTCCAACCAAAGTCGAGTAATTTAGATTTTAGTACTCGACTCGAATGACTCATGAGCTTAATCAAGTTTTTTAACTATAAGTTCTTTTTCCATGTAGAGAGGTTGTATTTGGAAAACCCTCGGCTTACAGAAGAGAACGACAGATATTAGTGAAATGCAACAAATAAAGGAAGAGTGAAAGAGACACACGGGTGGGGAGAAAAGAAACATAACCATTGCACCAAAAAAGGGATGTAACCAACTGAGAACAAAATACAGCAACTACACAACAAGGACCCTACGAAAACTGACTACCTCAATATCCCTAACACGCATATAGCTATTCCTATGAAAGTCTACCCTACTACTCTAGTCCTTAACCTCCATAGACCTCTATCTGTTGTCATGATCTCGGTGATTTGCAAAAATCTTAATCCAGCGTAATCACCTCATTCTAACTCTCTTCCTAGGTCTGCCTCTACCCCTTCTCAAATCTCCTACAAGGCAACCTCTTGCATCTCCTTACAAGAGCATTGTGTCTACTCCATAGGTGCCCATTTAATATGAATAAATTAGAAGCAAATCAATAATTGAGCTTTTTCAAACCAAGCTCAAAAGGTCTGGAGAGCTCAAGTTTGCCAATTTGAAAATGATTACATTCAACTAAAGTTTTGAGCTTTGCTTTTTCATTCAAGCCCAGTTTCAAACTTGCACTATTTAGCTCGACTTGACTACACAATCTACCTCCTTAGTTTTGCCTATTCTTAGTCATAACCTTGTATCTCTTGTTTTTTCTCCTTTCAAATGAGATGTTTAGTTAATATTCAGACATTAAATGTAGCTAACCAAGAGTGAAAAGTCTTTGTGTGTGTGTGTGTTACAGATTTGTATATTTTGTTTCCCGACATCTGCGGTAATTCCTCTGCATGATCACCCCGAGATGACGGTATTGAGCAAGGTTCTCTATGGTTCCTTACATGTAAAAGCTTATGATTGGGTTGAGCCAGCTTGCATCCGCAAAACTAGCATAGCAGGTCATGATGAAGGTTAACTTCCTAACCAATTCTGATGGTTAAAGAGCTTATTTATCTTGGTGACTATTTGGTAGGTGTCTTTTTGCTCATCATCTCCAGTTTTATTTTCTCATCAAAGGCTTGACTTATTTAACTCGAATCACCTCATAAAAACTAGTGTAGGAGTCGCTTATTTGTTCCTAAAATGAGTCAAATCATTGAAATAACACTTTCATCCTCTCTTTTCTTCACTTATTGTTTATAAAATTATATTTTAGATGTGGAGGGTTAATCTTTCAACACTTTTTTTATACAACAAATCTTACAATGTTTATAACTTGTGTTTGGATTAACAACAACAACCCAGTTGAATCCCACTAAACGCAAAACCCGCTGCTGGATTTTAAAGTTAGTAACACTTAGTTCATCATCCTAAAATTTCACAAAAATCCATAAATGTTTCATACTTCATATAACATGTTAAATATGAGCGGTGTGATTTAGTATGGAAGAATGTCAATTTTTTGTGAAATTTTAGGATGCAAATTTATGTGCTAATAGCTTTCAATCCAACTGTGGATTTTGCTTGAAAATGGTCAAAGTTAAAGACACAAGTGTTGTAAGAATTTATCTATAAAAAAGTAGTGTGATGTTAAGAAGATAATTGAGCATATCTAGCCAGTTCAGCCTCGGTTTCAACATATTCACACATATTGGTCATTTTAGGCCTCCACCAAAGAGGCTCTGATACTATGAAACTAGTTTAACATAAGTTGAAACAGCCTACCGTGGAGTATATCAAAAATACTATGTATGGTCTTTGGGAGCTATGTTTTGAAATTTTTTTGTAAGATGAACTAATTTTATCTATAAATTTTGGCATTGCTGCAATCTTACCTCACTCATTTTTCAGTGAGATTAGCCAAGTTGGCTGTTGATAGAGTTGTGACAGCACCATCTGCACCATCTGTTTTATACCCCAATACTGGAGGGAATCTGCATTGTTTCACCGCTGTTACGCCTTGTGCCGTGCTTGACATTCTTGCCCCTCCGTACAATGAAGCCTCCGGGAGACGGTGTACCTACTACCATGATTACCCTTACTCCAGCTTCGGTATGCACTTCTTATTTGAGTATAAAACCTTTCCTACACCTACAACTCCAAGCTTGAGTTTGGGGTTGGGTTGATTTTTTGACATGATATGGATCACAAGTCCGATCCTTACCACCACCCAATTTTTTAAAAATTAATGTTCATAAAAGCAAATCTTGCTTGCACATGAGGGGCTTTATTATAAAAACCTTTCTTGGACCACAAGATCAAACTTGTGGTTGAGTTGGTTGCTTGATGCTTCTTTCCCGTGCTCTATTTATTGGAACAGAGGTGCGGGTATGGATGTAATTTGGTCATGTATTGCGAAATTTGTTCAGCGGGTGCAGGAGATAAAGATCATATCGTGGATGAAAAAGAAGACGATTATGCTTGGCTTACTGCAACTGATACACCAGATTATCTGCATATGCGTTCAGGAAGGTATATGGGTCCAGCCATTCGAACTTGGTAGAGTATAGCGAGATGAGCAAATGTGATCTGTTCCAACACTTTTGTACAAGGAAGTGTCCCATCAATTCGTAAAGTAAGAAGAAAACTATTAAGAGAATGAGGTTCGGGTTCAATCACTTTCGTGTTTTAGATTAGATTTGGGTCTGCATCCTTTGCAAGTTTGTTCACTAGTTCTTGTTCTAACTCCTACTGGTATTAGTCCGAGTCTTGTGTAAATTGGATCTGGTCAAATATCAAGAGGTCTTCTACGGAGCAAAAACGTAAGAAACTTACCCAGTTTGATACCAAATGTTTCACCAAAATGCACAAACAAACAATGATTTTCTATATGCTGTGAAACATTGTCAAACTCTTGGTGTCAAACTTGTGACATTAGCACGACTCACTACGAAATGGTTCAACTAACCTAGTAATAGTTCTTTTTTTTCTTCTGAAAAGTTATGGGTGTATTACCGAGTACTAATTTACTATAGGAGAGCCTATAGCGTATGTTACCTTTAGACTTGATATTGCCATCTATTTTTCCAAAATTTCTTCCTTACACATGATGATAATCATTTGTGTCATAAAGATGAATATTGTCTATGCGTGTCTGTGCAAGGCATGGGGGCGGCCATAGAGGCATTCATTTGGAGCACCTTAGCTTTATTTTTATTCTACACATATTTAGGGTAAAAATCGACTCCAATTAGAATGAGAGTGCGTTAAGTCTTTGCTAACAATAATATAAAATTAAAAAAGCATACAAAAAAACTAATTTTCATTATTATCTATTGAGTATATTTTTAAATACGAAAGTATGTCTAACTATGGAATCAACAAATACATTTAAAAATTGGACCTTGTAGGAATCTATCAGAGTTGTCTTCACAGACATAAGTAATTTATACCTACACAAACGACAATCATCTGTGGACAAAGATGATCAACGTTTGTGTATTATAAAATCATCTGTAATTTTGATACTCCCTCTGTCCTAAAACTTTCTTCCCAGAGCACTATTCCAACTTTACGAGAATTTATATTTATTTGTGTTTTTTCATGGCCTATATGATAAAATAAAATATTCTTGTCACCGCTTGTTTTGTTGAACTTTTGATGTATTTTTACATATGTATGTTTTATTTTTTATTTCTATACCAATATTTAAATAAAATAGATTGAAAAAACTTGAGATTTTTCTTCGTTTTGCGCAACGGGAAGAAAGTTTTAGGACGAAGGGAGTATATGGAAGCACCCTGATTGGTTTTTAGCATTATTCTTGAAAATTAACGACACAAATTAAAACTATATATCTAGAAATGGCACATACTTAAACACCCGAAATTATATAACGTGCTTAAATGATTTTGATCAATATTTGAGGCCTCAAAACTATACTCTCTATATCCCAAAATAGATTACAATTTTTTTCTCTCTTCTCTCAATAGCTTTTATTTATTTGTGTTTTCATTTAGTATTTGATAAAATAAAATATTTTTGTCACCTCTCGTTTTGTAGAACTTTTAATAAAGTTTTTTAATATGTAATTTTTATTTATTATTGATGTAACAACTTATAAATAAAATGATTTTAAAAGATGAAAATTTTTAGCTCGTAATTCTCAATTTTTAATCAAATTAAAGAGTGTCATTTGTGTAAATTTGTACCTGGAGGTCTAAGTTGCGGAATATGCGCGCGAAATGAAGGAATTCAACGAACCAAATTAAATAATTTCAATTAATGGTTAATTCCCTACGTTTCTCTTTCATTCATCCAAAACACAAAGACTGTTATGAATTACCATAGCTAGCCATTTCAAGCCACAATCAACACTAATCCCATCATCATCATCATTCTCCATCACCATTATTTTCTTCACATTCTCCGATACAACCATCAGATTTCTCGGGCCTCACCCAAGAAATCTGATCGATCGCATCGGAAAAGAAGAAAAAACATATAAAATACAATGGTTCGCGTCAGCAATGCCGTCATCGGCATCCTCAACTCCCTCACCCTCCTCCTCTCGGTGGCGGCGATCGGGGTGGCGGTGTGGATCGAGTTCAACCCCGGCGCCACCCTGTGTCAACGGGTCCTCCTGAAGCCGCTGGTCGTCCTCGGGATCTCCCTCCTCGCCGTGTCCGTCTTCGGGCTGATCGGCTCGTGCTTCCGCGTCTCTTTCGTATTGTACGTGTACCTCACCGTCATGTTCCTCCTCATCCTCGGGGTCGCCGGATTCTTGGTTTTCGCCATCGTGGTCACGAATAAGGGCGTGGGGTCCGCCCTCTCCGGGAAGGGGTACAAGGGGGCCAGGCTCGGGGACTATTCGCATTGGTTGCAGAAGTATGTGGTGAATGCGGAGAATTGGGACGAGATTAAGAGCTGTTTGGTTGACGTCAAGTTTTGCCAGCATCTCAACGACGATCAGGTGAAAGCGGTCGATTTTTACAAACACGGCCTCTCTGCAACTCAGGTTAGTATTCTATTTTCTATTTTTACTCCGTATTTTCGTACTCCCTCCGTCCCAAAAAGATCGTTACGTTTCATTTCTTTGCGCATCCCTTAAAATATTTTTATATCGTCTCAAATGCCAAAAAAACTTTCAAAACAATTTCATCTTATAATAAAGAGTAAATATGGTAAATTTTAGAAATTTTAGATGTGAATAGCATTGTTTTTTGTGATTCGCAAAGAAATGAAACGTAACGATCTTTTTGGGACGGAGGGAGTATTATTTTTTCGGTTGAAGACATTATTTTAGATTGAAATTTAGCACATTTTATTACTCGGTATGTGAAAATTTTTTTATTTGAGCTTTATTCTTCTCACTAGTCATTATTAAGTCTTATTTAGGAAATAAAAAAGTTTAAGTCCTACATTGAGAAATGACTTATCTTTTAGTCCTATTCAGTACAATTTTCACAAAAAACATAGCCTTTATGAAAATTTCAAAAGTAAATGACGAAAAAAACTCCTTGAATATATATAGAGTAAAGTGCATCGTTTACCCCCGTACTTTTTAGAAATTGCATGTTTTACCCCTGAACTTTAAAAAGTGCACCGATTACCCTCGAGCTTTCCAAAAATTGCACGATTTACCCCTGCATACTAAAAAATGTACTCTAGGTACCAAATACTGTTGAACAAATTAAACCGTTGCATCATTGGTCCTAAATTATTAGATAGAGAGTGTGTTGCTTCCACGCACAAGGATTATGAATATGATTCATTTAGTCCTTGTGATTTTCTAAAGTACCTTTACCCAAAATTGTCGTCTTTTTTCAAATGTTCAGGAGTAAACAGTACAATTTTTGAAGAGTTCAGGGGTTATTGGTGTAATTTTTATTGTTCATGGGTAAACCGTGCAGTTTCAGAAAAATTCAGGGGTATTTGGTGCACTTTTTAATGTTCGAGGGTAAACCATGCAATTTTTAAAGAATTCGGGGGTAAACCGTGCATTTTTCTCAATATATATATGTGCACGAATTAGGAAGAAACTAAGCCAACAAGTCTCATAATATATGGATACTCTTTTAATGTGGTATATACTTGGTGATGAGTACGTGCAGTCGGGTTGTTGCAAGCCACCGATATACTGCGGGTTCGTGTTCGAGAACGCGACGAGCTGGAGGATGCCGAAGGGGGGGCCCGCGGTGCCGGACGAGGACTGCAAGAAGTGGAGCAACGACGAGACGCAGATGTGCTTCAACTGCGACTCGTGCAAGACAATGGTGCTGGAGAACACCCGCAAGGAGTGGAAGAACCTGGCCATCCTCAACTTCTGCACCCTCGTCTTCGTTGTCTTCGTCTACTCCGTCGGCTGCTGCGCTCTGAGGAACAACAACAAAAGTCGAGGATACAACAAGTATAGAGGCTACCCATGAATTATTGAATTTTAATTTATATATGGACGTGACAATGCTGGTATACATATATGTGTGTGTGTGTGTTTATGAATTGCTTGGTTCATTTGAATTGTGGTTTGTTAATATATGGCTTAACTGATCTGTTACAAGGATACCAATGTCTATATGTATCCACTCCATCATCTGTCAATGGTATGTACCGGTTAGGGCAACAATTTTGACATTTAGCTTTGGGTTTAATTTTAGCTTGTTTGGGGATGACATTTTTAATAATTGTTAGCGTTTTGGATAATCACTTAATGCTATAAATTAAGTTTAAGAATGTTGAAGCTAAATAGTGTCGTTGGATGAACTTTTAAAAATGCTGGTGATTGGGAAGTGGTTATAACGGAATCGAATTCAGAGTTTGACAAAAACTAATTTTTTTTAGATTTTGATAAAATGGGGGAAGCAATAGGAAAAGATATGATCAACAATTTCAACTTAGGGAGCTCATGAAACACCGCAAAGAACTCGAAACGAAACAAAAAAGAGAGCGAACACACTAAGTCAAACATTAAACGTATGATATGCACATAAACTATGTATTACTTACACTCATAAGAGTAGAAAAAAATGATTCAAAGGCTTAGTCAATTTATTTCCATTACCACAATATGGAGGATTGTCTAGTCTATATGGACCGGAGTCATGCAACTCAATTATTCAAAGGTCCTTTAATTTTGAATATATTCTTTGAACCCAATTCTCTATTCAAACATAAAAAAACATACTTGCCTTATAGAAAAGTGTTTATTGATTAAATTATATTATTATTCTTTACATCCAAATTTTAAATTGCATGTTTATTATTTACAAAGTCAAACTTTATTCATGTTGTTACCCTATTTGTGCGACATATTTAACAAAAAAATGTAATTTTGTCACCTCTTATTTTGTAGAACTTTTGATATAGTTTTTGTATAGATAAATTTCACTTTCTAATTCCTTACCAATCTTTAAATAAATCTAATTCAAAATAACTTCTATCAGATCTTGTAAACGAAAATAACATTTCGTTTTAGGACGTAAGGTAAATGAAAATTTTATGGGTCCCACTTTTAATTGTGTGAGCAACGTATAATTTTTACAAATGAAATTAAAAACAAATTTCCGTTTGATAAATGGAAAATTTTGTACGGAGTATAATTTTCTCTTTTAAATAAATATTCAAAAGGAGTAAATGAAAACTATGTTTGGGGCCGAAACATTTGGATCGGATCGGATTATCGGAATCCTTCAACTCCCAACTCCGAACTTCTTCAATGCAGTCATTTACAATGGAAGCGTTTGATCATAGCCGAAGAAAGAGTGAAAGAAGAACGATTTTGTGAATTGCCGCTCCACAAACACAAACATGCCCGAAGGATTTCCGATTTGAAGAAGAAGAAGAAGAAGAAGAAAAAGGGCAAGTCTTTCGTCTATTTTCTCGCTCTCTTATCATTTCCGATTTGTGTTTATAGAATTGCATTCTTTATATTTATGATCGGTCATACACTTATAATAGTGTTAGATTAATTTTGAATTAAACTCACTCGATTGAATTGGAATTGTAAAAATTTGATGCCTTTTTCATATAAATTTGTTGGAATTCTTATGTTGTTGTAATCTCTAATTCTTAATTTGGTGCCATTTAGAGCATATTCTCTTCAATGTATTTTTACAGAGTATTTTTATTCAAATCAGACTAGATCAGATCTGATCATAATTTATTTCAATTAGATCAGGATCTATGAGAACAAGCCCTTAATCAGGAAGAATTTACTCTCTCAATTATCATTACTTCAATTTGCTACCCACACATAATTGTCCCTTTGAGCATTGAGTAATCCATGTTCTTGTTTTTTAGCAACAGATGAAGACAGCGAATGAGCTTCTACCTTTATTAGAAATACCCTCTCCTCTTTTATGGGAAATTCTAAGTAGGGTTCCCGTTAAGACATGTTTAACTACTTGTAAGCTTGTTTGCAAGGAATGGTATCATATCATGAACAGTCCAGAATTCTCTTCTTTCCGCTGCCACTGTGGTGCATCTCGTTTTAACCTCTTGTTTTATAATGATGGGAGTGCTAGCAGAAAGTTGGTTTTCAATTTGGTTGAGATTGGTAAGGCATTAGATCTTGATGATTTGGGTAGATGTATTGTGGGTGTTGATCATTTTATCAAGGGTGAGCCAATAGTTGAATATGGCTTATGGTATATCAAGTCTCATTGCAATGGGGTTGTTTGTTTCGTAAATACAAAGAAGGACTACTCCGTATGCAATTTGGTCACAGGCCAGAGTGTGAAGTTACAGAATCTTCATGAATTGAAGAATCAATCTCGTTCTATATCTGGGTGTGAATTGGGATTCTGTCCGGTGTCAGGCAAATTCAAGGTTCTCATGATCCTTATGCACAAGGTGGAGAAGGTCTTGCTAGCAAAGATACAGACTGTGGGTAATGGTGAATGGAGGACTGTAAAAAACGTACCCTTAAAGCATCTTGGAGGCAGATATATTCGGAACGGGTTTAGTCATTGGCACGGTGACAACTGTATATGGTCTTTTGAATTTGGCAAAGAAAAGTTCTTGCGAGTCCCATATCCTGACGATGTCATGACTAAGGCCTATCAGAAGAAGAACAAAATGTTGAGCATTTTTGACTCTTGTTTATGTTTGAGTTGTTCCACCATGGACAATGTGGCTAGTGTTGAGATCGACATATGGATTATGAAAGAGCATGGTGTGAAAGATTCTTGGGTGAAACAATTTGTCATAGTGAGTGATCCATGGTGTGTGCCTCTGGTGCGTATGGGTGAGAGAAAGATACTTGTAACAAGTCGATGTCAGTTGTATTTATATGATCCACAAACTCACGATAAAATTAGAGTAACGTTTGAGCGTAATGGGACAAGGATTGATGCTCCACGGCTGCCGCCCATTCTACTTGTTGCAAGTTTCTCAAGATTTTAGAAATTCATCTAAATACTCATTCCCTAGTTTTATTTTTTTTCTGATTTACTTATAATTGCGACAATTTTGTGCATGCTTTGAATGCCAGTTTGATCAATGTTAGATGATACTCCGTAATGTTTCTGATCACGCGATCGGGACCTTAGTTCGGTTTCTGCTTGTTTTCTAAAGGTTTATTTCTATGTTTGGTCTGAATATTTGAAAACTAGCTCTTACTCCCTCCGTCTCACTATCTTTGTCCACTTACCTTTTGGCACACCATCCAATGCACTTCTTTAATCCATTTTATCTTGTAATTTGTATATTAAAAAATTATAAAAATTATATATTAATAATCTATATGTTAAGACGAATCAAACAAGATTACACATGACTATTTTTAGGCTTACACATTGAGAGAATTTGATGAGTCAAAGTGCTTAGATGAACAATTCCAAAAGTCAAAGACAATGGAACGGAGGTAGTATTTTCTGCCTCGGGTGCTTGGGTGTTTATTCTATCCATACCATGGTGTGTTTCTTATTAATGTTAAAAAGGGAGAAGTGGAGAGCGATGCTTGCTTGTTCCCACTTTTTTACCAATTTTTTTAGAATTACTTTTTTTGGCATCGTGCCTATATCTTCACCATATCCCCGCAGTAGTATCATATTGTTCGTTTTTGGCCAAGGCCTCACATATTCGTTTTTGACACAAGGCATCAAATGCAGATCTCCATTTCATTAGGCCATATTATTTGATGTGCCAAATCATATTGCAGTGTCATTATTCTTGTAAGGAAGACTTTCAATACAAGACATTACCCATTGATCCTTATTGGGATATGATACTACATATTAGGACCACATGTAGCTTCATCACAATCATGGATTAGTATGATATTGTCTGCTTTAGATTATGACCAACTACTCTAATATGAAGTACTTCCTCCGTCCCTGAGTATATATTCACTATTGACCTTTTTTAGTCAAAATTGGTATACTTTGACATCATATTAAATAAAAATAATATTAGATATTGATACAAAATTAGTTTTATTTGATTTATTATTTCAAATGTTTTTAAAATATTACTTTACCCAATAAATATACAATATATATATATATATATATATATATATATATATATATATATATTATTTAATTATAGATCAAAGGTTGAAAACAGTTGATCGGAAAAAGTTAAAACTAAACAAATACTCAAGGATGGAATAGTATAATGTGTACAAAAATAATGTTATAATATGGCTCTTTTTAATAAAAGACTCTTAAAAAAGAATAATCTAATAAAATCTCGTGAATAAAGTGTGCAGAGGCGCAAAGGGAAAAGAAAGAGGCCCTCTATGTTTTATGGAAAATTCTAGAATCATAAATATATATTTCACAAACTTCACAAACTTGCCTTTTGTAGATTTTAAATTAAAATATCTTTTATTATTTGAGTGTATCTTATTTTTAGGAAAGTGTTAAAATGACAAGTTTGTGAATTTTGTAAACTGTTTGTTTGTGAATCTAGTATTACTCATGTTTTATACCTACTCTTTTTCTCTAAAAGATACTCCATATTAAAGTCGCCCTTTAGCTAAACAATATTTTAAAAAAAGAATGAAAAAACAAAAATATAAATATAGAGAGAAAAATGTTTTTTCACATTAAAAATATCTCTTTCGGTGTAAGTTAAAGCTGACGTGGCAGAGAGAGAAAGTTTGAAGCCCCGGTTTGAAGCCTCGGGGCCTCAAACGTATTTCCAGTGCTCTAAACATATTCTATTCTTATTCTCATATCATAGAAACTAATCAAAATATAAAAAAAATTATTAGCATTAAAAATATCTCTTTTCGACAAAGTGTTCACGAAAACTATGTTCAAAATTATATCTATAAATGAAAGATGATTTTATTTTAAGCAAATTAAATTTTTACTTTTTTTAATTTTAAATTTAAAATTAATATTTTTAAAAATATAACAATACACTCTTGTTAGAAATTTGTCTAACGATTTACAAATTTTGTTTTCTATTCTAGAAAAAAATATTATATTGAATTATAAAAAATAATTTGGAGTATCGATCCAGAAAGAAATTACAATACAAAAAAATATAGTGAGTTATAAAATTTGTTAGTACCGTTTCGAAGAAACAAATAGTGTCATTTTCATAACTTTTGAATTACTATTTTGGGGAAATATTTGTACTGAATTATAAAAACACAAATTAGGTAGTTCCATTTTAGAAAAAACAATATAGCCAATAGAAGATTATCAAATATTTTAGTGTTGTTCATGAAAAAATTGTAATACAACAGAAAATATAGTAAATATAAAAAAAAGTTCTAGTTTAGAGAAAACTTATTGTGTTATTTTCACAATTATTGTAATGTTGTTTCGCAAAAAATATTTTTATAGAATTATCGAAACGTATTCACAAGTTTCGTAGTGCCATTTTTTAAGAAGTAATGATAATATAGTATCAAAAAGCAATTCGAAGTGCCGCTAAAAAAATAAGGGAGAAAGACCAAAGTAGGTTTAAAACATTGAAAATATGCCAAAATAAGACTTTCATGTTTTTATTCCCAAAATAGAATTTATATTACCAAACATGGTCATGTACATTATCAAAAAAGTATAGTAATATACACATGTAAAATGCCACATTACCACAGTGCAAAGTCCTATTTCGGGAAAAAATACTTGAAAGTCCTATTTTACTACTTTTCTCCATGTCTTAGCCTTATTTAGGGTGGTTTCTAAAAAAAATAATTACAACTCACAAATAATATGTAATGAATTATGAAGTAAATAAATTAGCTATATTGTGTAGAATAATTTATTTTTTAATTATTATAAGATAATTGATATGGAAAATAATTAGTTTCACTTTAAAAACACTTAAATTTGGTATTATTTTCCAAAAAAAATTAAAAAACATTTAAATTTAAATTTAGAAATTAAAAAAAATTAAAAAAAGAGAATTTACCTATAATAATCCCACCTTTCATTTCTTTGCAAAAAAATGGCCATTTTCAAAAATTTTGTTAAGTGACCGTTAGTTTTTTAACAGCGACCTAAAACTCACACAGTGGGATTATTTCTAGTGACAGTAAAAAGCGAAATTATTTTTGAAAGAGCACGAAAATGTGGAATTATTAGAGATAATTTTTCCTTATTTTTTTTAAAAAAAATACTCCGTAATTGATAGACTTTACTTCATTATGACACAAGGATCTATTTTCTGTGTGTTGTGCCAGACCCTTGATTCCTCGGGGACGACCCCGGTTAGAATGGTAGGAACCACTTTGGGATCTAAGGAGGGGTCTCAAATAATGTGCCTTCTTTTTTGTCCCAATTTCACTCCATGCTCCACATTACATTTTCCATATTGAAAAGCTAAAAGGAAAATGTTTGCCTTGTTACATGTGAAATTCCACAAAGACGGAAACATAGTAGAGGGGGAATTACCTCAAAAACTACGGAGAGTATATCGCCCACCTCAGGGCCCTCAAATGCCAAACTTTCTTGTTTTCAAAAGGTCGAAATAAGGAGGCTTGCAGTGCTTTCGTCCGCGAAACATCATCAACATGTGTTGCCATTATTCCAATGAAGTATACTCTACCGCGAGGTTTATGAAAATGTAAACCCATTCTCATCATGGTCACCTTATGAAACTCAAAAGTTTCTCCCATCTAAGCACACAAAATACTAATTAAAGACAACGTGAGAGATAACTGATCAAAAAAAACTTTCATAAAACCCCTTGAAGTTCATGAAAAAGTTACTCCCCAAGTCCTAATGTATTTTTCTAGTTTGACTTTTCTGTGTCAAACAAGATAAGCTTAAAAATTCAATTAAACAAAAATTGTAATGTAAATTAGAATAAAAATGGTTTTATTAGAGCCACTACATTTTTGGAGCACCATTCATAAAATTGACAATTTCTACCCCCCTAACCCACCCCCTAAACCTCCCAGCCCTACACCCCCACCCCGCCATAAGCCCCCCACAAAATGTGTGGCTATTATGCAATAATAGCCACACATTTTGTGGGGGGGCTTACAGCGGGATTGGGGTTGGGGTTGGGGTGGGGGTGGGGTGTTTAGGGGGTGAGTTATGGAGGGTAGGAACTGTCAATTTTACGAACGGAGCACCAGAGGTGCTTCAAAAACGCAGTGGCACTTCTAGTGGCACCGTTTTCCGTTGTGACTAGAACCCCACCGCACAAAAATTCGCAAAAGAAAAATAAATAAATGGTCAGACTGTAGAAAGTCCTCAAGATTCTTCTTTTTAATACGGAGTACTTTGTATGGAGTATTAAATATTAAAAAAGAGATCTCATTTTAAAGTGAAGGGCAAAATAGAAAAAACACATTTATTAACACCTATGGATAAAGTATTGGACAAATTTTCATCCGAGTCATTACAACAAAATTTAAGGACTACCCATAGTTTGTAAGGCGACAAGGCGAGGCGCCAATGCACCTTCATATCGCCTAGAAAACCTACATGTTTATATGTGTGTGTGTCTATATATATGTGTGTGTGTGTGTGTGTGTGTATGTATCGGTCTTATACATTTTAAGGAAGCTTGACAGAGAAGCCCGAGAGAGAGAAGATAAGTTTTAAGTCTATTAGGCTACACTAAAAAAATTGGGCTGCACTAAAAAATGGGTTTTTTCAAAATTTAAAGTGGCCCAAGGCATCAAGGCGAGGTAAGGCGAATTAAGGCGATGTAAGGCGAGGAAAGGCGACGCCTAGGCGAGCGCCTGGTCGCCTTATGGTTTTCTAGGCGAGGCGAGCACACAAGGCGTCCCAGTGAGAGCGCCTTATCGCCTAGGCGACGCCTTACAAACTATGGGACTACCTGAGCGTTAACTCAACAAAACCCAAGTAATTTTGTGGGGTTAAATACTACAAACTATTTACATAAAGTTGAAGGGGTTTTTTTTGAAAATTATCCTTTCTAAACACATATACACCGAGGATCTTTTGATCCCTAACCATGAAGTGTCATAATAAAACATCAGGTGTACACCGTTCCACACGTGATGCCTACGTGCTACCTCCCCATCCCCACAAACCCCCTAGTCCGTCTCATGGCCCCACGACTTGGATGTCAATCAAATTTAACAAAAAAAATGAATAAAGCCAACTAATGTACACCAAAACCTATACCCTAGATTGTTGCACATTCATTTGTACCAGTGTAATAGTTTACACGGACACAAAATGCTAGAAAACTTTTTTTTATTTCACTAACATTTTGCACAAGTGCTAACTGCTAAGCATAAAAAAAATTAACACTCATAACTTGAAA